ATAGACCTAGAGCAGATTCCTTATAACGAATTATAGACTGCTGAGTGTCGCCATTGATGGTACAATTGGCTGCGCGTATGCCAAAATTTGTGGGAAACGCCTCCTTTTTGGCTGATTTTGGCGTCTGAAGCAACCTTTGGAGAGCGATAACTAAATAAATTCCGGGCCGCTTCAAAAGCACTCGGGCATATGCGTCATAGACCTAGAGGATATTCCTTATAATTAATTATAGACTGCTGAGTGTCGCCATTGATGGTACAATTGGTGGCGCGTATGCCAAAATTTGTGGGAAACGCCCCCATGCCAAAATTTGTGGGAAACGCCCCCTTTTTGGCTGATTTTGGTGTCTGAAGCAACCTTTGGAGAGCGATAACTAAATAAATTCCGGGCCGCTTGAAAAGCACTCGGGCATATGCGTCATAGACCGAGAGCAGATTCCTTATAATGAATATTAGACTGCTGAGTGTCGCCATTTATGGTACAATTGGCGGCGCGTATGCCAAAATTTGTGGGAAACGCCCCCTTTTTCGCTGATTTTGGCGTCTGAAGCAACCTTTCGAGAGCGATAACTAAATAAATTCCGGGCTGCTTCAAAAGCACTCGGGCATATGCATCATAGACCTAGAGCAGATTCCTTATAATGAATTATAGACTGCTGAGTGTCGCCATTGATGGTACAATTGGCGGCGCGTATGCCAAAATTTGTGGGAAACGCCCCCTTTTTGGCTGATTTTGGCGTCAGAAGCAACCTTTGGAGAGCGATAACTAAATAAATTCTGGGCCGCTTCAAAAGCACTCGGGGATATGCGTCATAGACCTAGAGCAGATTCCTTATAATGAATTATATACTGCTGAGTGTCGCCATTGATGGTACAATTGGCGGCGCATATGCCCAAATTTGTGGGAAACGCCCCCTTTTTGGGTGATTTTGGCGTCTGAGGCAACCTTTGGAGAGCGATAACAAAATAAATTCCGGGCCGCTTCCAAAGCACTCGGGCATATGCGTCGTAGACCTAGAGGAGTTTCCTTAT